ACTCTACTGCTTGAGCCACAGCGCTACTTCCGGTTTTCTAGTGGTTTATTGGAGATAAGAGTCTCACAGACTTTCCTGCCCAGGCTGAACCACTATCCTCACATCTCAGCCTCCTGAGTAGGTAGGATTACAGGTGTAAGCCACTGGTGCCCGGCTTAGCCCGGGTCTTTTTTTTTTTTTTTTGATCCAGTCGTGGGGCCTGAACTCTGGGCCTGAGCTCTGTCCCTCAGCTCTTCAGCTCAAGGCTAGAGCTCTACCACTTGAGCCACAGTACCACTTCCGGCTTTTTTCTTTTGGCTTATGTGGTGCTGAGGAATCAAACCCAGGGCCTCATGCATGCAAGGCAAGCGCTCTACCACTGAGCCACCTTCCCAGACCCTAGCCCTGGTCTTAACCAGAGTAATCTTATCCTTAAGACTGATTCTAACTATAACCAGGGTATTTTTGTTGTTGTTCTTGGGCTTGAACTAGGGGCCTGGGCACTATCCCTGAGCTTCTTTTTGTTCAAGGCTAGCATTCTACCACTTGAGCCACAGCGCCACTTCCAGCTTTTTCTGTTGATGTGGTACTGAGAAATTGAACCCAGGGCTTTATGCATGCTAGGCAAGCACTCAACCACTAAGCCACAATCATAGCCCTGTCCCTGAGCACTTTTGCTGAAGGCTTGTACTCTACCCGTTGGAGCCACAGCACTACTTCCTATTTTCTAGTGGTTAATTGGAGATAAGGGTCTCATGGACTTTCCTGCCTAGGTTGGCTTTGAACTGCAATTCTCAAATCTCAGCCTCCTAAGTAGCCTAGTTTATAGGTATGAGCCACCAGTGCCTGGTTCAGATTCTTAAATATGTTGTGATATTGGGAATGGAAGCCAGGGCCTTTGCACATGTTAAGTAAGTGCTTTACAACTGAGCTACATCCCCAACCTAGATACCTACTTTTTATTTATCTTGATCTTCCTTCCTTCCTTCCTTCTTCCCTCCCTTCCTCTTCTCCCCCCTCCTTTCTTTCTTCAATTTTTGTTGGTTATACCTGGGTGCCGTCTCTGAACTCTTTTTGCTCAAGGCTACCACTTTGAGCCATAGCATCACTTTTGGTTTTCTGGTAGTTTAATGGAGATAAGAGTTTCACAGTCTTTCCTACCTGGACTGGCTTTGAACTGTGATCCTCAGATCTCAACCTCCTGAGTAGCTAGAATTACAGATGTGAGCCACTGGGGCCGGGCTATCCTATATATCTTTATCCTGTACTTAATTTTAACCATGTCCATAAACCAAACACAAGTCAAGTTATCATTTTTATGTGAATCTTTTCTTTTTTCTTTCTTTTTTTTTTTTGTCAGTTGTGGGTCCTGGGCGCTGTCCCTCAGCTCTTCAGCTCAAGGCTAGCACTCTACCACTTGAGCCACAGTGCCACTTCTGGCTTTTTCTGCTTATGTGGTGCTGAGGAATTGAACCCAGGGCCTCATGGATGCAAGGCAAGCACTCTACCACTGAGCCACCTTCCCAGCCCTCTTTTCTTTTTTCTTTTGAGAGTACTATGGATTGAGCTCAAGATATCGTGCTTGCTAACCATGTCCTCTACCACTTGAGCCAGGCATTGTGCTTTGGTTTGTTTTCCAGAGAGACTCTCATGCTTTTGCTGAGGTGGCCTTGGATCTCGCTCTTCCTATTTCTGCTCCCCAAGTAGCTGGGATTATAGGCATGTACCACTGGTGCCCAGTTTATTTTATTGATTATTTCCTTCAGTGGAACGTAAGCTCCCTAGCACAGGGAATTGTGGGGTTTTTTTTGGTTGTTGTTGTTTTCTATCTCTGATATACCCTTCATGTCTAGAACAGTGCCTGGCACATAGTAGGTGCTTCAGGAATGTTTTTTTTTTTTTTTTTTTGGCACATAGTAGGTGCTTCAGGAATGTTTTTTTTTTTTTTTTTTGTCGGTCGTGGGGCTTGAACTCTGGGCCTGGGCGCTGTCCCTCAGCTCTTCAGCTCAAGGCGAGCGCTCTAACACTTGAGCTACAGCGCCACTTCCGGTTTTCTGGTGGTTTATTGGAGATAGAGTCTCACAGTCTCTCCTGCCCGGGCTGGCTTTGAACCGCGATCCTCAGATCTCAGCCTCCTGAGTAGCTAGGATTACAGGCGTGAGCCACCAGCGCCCGGCTTTCAGGAATGTTTTTGAATGCCTGTATACTTCCTGTGAAGGTTTTAGCTCCTTCCCCCTGCAGGCTCACTGGGTTCATTGGAGGAAGCCACTGTGGCAGAGAGCAGATTGAGTAGTCATTTATAGCTGACCAATGATGGGTCCTGCTTTGCCCCTCACTGGTTTCCCAATCCTTGCACAGCTGCAGCACACCAAGTGCTCTTTCTGCCCCCACCTGCAGGGGAAGCAGCTGAGAAACTAAAGACCCTGATAGTCTTCCTGGCCTCTCTGTGGAACCTGGGCTTGCTGTCTCCCCACTTCTCTCTTCCTCCTTACAGCTCTGGACCTTTGGTTTAACTGAGCATAGGGTGAAGGTCAGAAGAGAGACGCCCCTCAATTGTGAAGCTGCAACTTAGACGAGGACGAGGTAGAAGACTTACAAAGACAGGCACTGGTCGAACAGCCAAGAACCACGAAAAAGGGCAGCGAAGGCAAAGGAGGTGACAAAAACTAAAATCAACCCGAATGAAAAAGGCTTAAATAATAAAAAAACGACAGACTGAAAATGAGAAACATGTGCGCGTAGACACAGAAATGGAGAGAGAAGAGCGCAGGCAACAAAACGGAGAAAAAGTTGGGACCCCTCATTGTGGTCTCTTCTCGGGAGGCTGGGAGGAGAAAACTACATTTCCCAGAAGGCCGTGCGGTCGGAGTTTGACTTCACCAATCAGAACGCTTCGCGCGAAGCTTGAATTTCTAAACCAGGATGAATGGAAAAAGAAAGGCATTCTCTCCACCACCCGCCCCCCCTCGCCCCGCCCCTGCAAACAGCTGCCATGTCAATGGAGCTGTGACTCAACTGAGAGAGCGCTAGCCTTGAGCACAGAAAGATCAGGGACACTGCAACATCCAGGCCCTGAGTTCAAGCCCCAGGACCAGCAAAAAAAAAAAAAAAGGTTATTTTCTGCTTATACTGTCCCAAATAGATGCTGAGCCATGATGGGTACACAGTGAGGGAGAAAGAAATACAGACATGCAGCTGCTTCCCCTCCTGCCTCCCCATACTCCACAGGGGTGCTTCTAATCTATAATCCTAGCTACTCAGACTTGGGAACTGTGGTTCATACCCACAATTGAACTCACCACCAACAAAGCTAAGAGGACTGAGTCCCTGACTGGCCAGTTACTAAGGTCACCCACCAATGGAGCATTCTTTCTGCATAAGACCTGAACTTAGAGCTTTGCAATTGCTAGGTAGACTCTCTACCACTGAGCCACACCTCCAGTTAAGGGCTATTTTTTGCTGTGTTGGGGCAGATTCCAGGGGGAAAAAAAAGAGAAGGTGCCTTAAGAGACAAGAGAGTCAGGAGACTAAGAGACCCAGAGCTGATGTTAGTTAGGAGCTGTGAACTAGTCATCCTAATTCCAGAGTTAACCTTCCAGATGGCTGGATGGTCCCATTCTCTGCCTTAGTTCTTCTGGTACTTTCTTTATTCTCCTTCTAGGATTGCCTGATAAAATACAGGTACTCAAGTTTCACAGGAATTTTAGAAAATGTGGGGCTCTATTTTGTTTCTTTTTGAGGGTACTAGGATTTGAATTTGTGGTTTCACATTTGCTAGGGAAATGCTTTTGGCCCAGTCCTTTCCCTTTTAGTTACGTTTGGTTTTATTTAATTAGATATTTATTAGTTTGTATTTTTAGATTGGGGTTTTGCTTTGGCCTGGGCCAGCTTTGTGGACAGTGATCCTGTTTTTCCAGCTGCTGAGATTATGTTGTGCACATCCAGGCCCATCTCTCTCCTGCCTCTCTTAACGAACGATGTAGCTCTGGAAGTACCTATACCCCCACAATGTCACTTGGACCCCTTCTTCCCGCCTTCCTCCATGTCAGCACCACATCTAGGGTAGTCTGCTTCTACAAATACCCTGTCTTGTGTCGTCCATCTGCCTTCTGTAGTTCTCCTAAGGTCTGCACTGGTCTGTCTCCGTGCCCTCCCCTCTGCTTCCCATCAGAAGAGTCTGGAGGCTTTAAGGGACCCGCCATTCATAGGAATTCCCCCATCACTTACCTTCATCCTGACTCCATCTCTCCTTGGCCAGTAAGTTCAGGAGATTTTCTCAAAGCTACATAGCAACGTCGAAAGTGCCTCCAATCCACACCTCATTCTTTTCAAGTTGCCAGCTTCTGGGCAGAAAATGTCTCCACCTTTCCTGATTCTGCAGTTTGGTAATATAGTCACAGGCTAGGACTACAGGTGCCCATGGCTCACAGCCTTGTTGACCTGAGGACCTTAAATGCACCAAGTGGAGGATACAAGGCTTATGGACTGCAATGCATTAGAATGGTGACTTGCCCTGGTTATCAATAGATCTCTGGGGCCCAGAACATAGTAAATGCTCAATAAATGTCTGTGGAATGAATGAACATTTCCTAAGTCATTGCCATGTTGATCATCCTCTTCTTATTTTTTGGTATGCCAGACCTGGGGCTTGAACTCAGGTCCTGCGCCCTGTCCCTGAGCTTTTGTACTCAAGGAGAACACTCTACCATTTGAGCCACAACTGCACTTGTGGTTTTGGTTTTGTGTGTGTGTGTGTGTGTGCTTAATTACGGATAAGAATCTCCCAGACTTTCCTGCCTAGGCTGGCTTTGATCCACACATCTCAGCCTCCTCAGGAGCTAGGATTCCAGGTGTCAGCCACCAGCACCAGGCTTTATTTCTGTCCCCTTATCTAAACACGGACCCTCCTTTTCCTCTCATACCCCTCTTCTCTTCCACTCTACTCTAGAATGAGCTATTATTTTTCATTTGGAAGGATCTCTTAATTACCGCCATGTGTTAAGCATTTTTTCTCTCTCCAGTGTTGATGGAGTGCTCCACCCGTGGAATCCTTATGGAATATTTCAGAAGGTAAGTACAGCTTTGGAATAATGTGTTTTCTCAAGGTGGAGACTGGGAGAGAATGAAAGAGAGCCTTGCCCCACCTCCACACAGCCACCATCCATCTCTTGTCGCCATCACAAACTTCCTCACCTGCCCTGCAGCCTGGTGAACACCTCCACAAGAGGAGGATTCATCTTAAGCATTGACTCAGAGGCTTTAAACTCCAGTCCATTCAGGAGGCGGGTATGTCACTTTCAGGGCCGGCCTGGGGTTGGGAAAAGGCTGAGGCTGACCTGCCTTGGGACAGGGGATTTGATCTCCTGGATCCTTTAGGACTTGCTGTCAATCACAACCAAAGATCCATACTGGATTTCTTGAGTTGCTCTCCAAGCCCTCGTTTTCAAGAAGTCCGGAGACACATTCACACAAAATGCTCCTCAGGGTTTATAAGTAGCTTGTGTGTTTGCCAGATCTGCCCACTGGTTCATGATTGCCAATTTTCATTTCATGTGCCAGGGTCTGCTACTAAGGAAGAACTTAAGGGATTCCACACAGGGGTGGGGCATCTTTTTTTTTTTTCTGCCCAGGATTATCTAGGTATTTATAACACTATTGGAGAGCTGTACAAAATGATCAATACAGGGAGACAAAACAATGGGATGAGGGAAAAAAAAAAGCAGCACATGTCTATCCTGTTGGGTGCCAAATGATGATTTCAAAGAACCTTTCACAGCCTGAATGTTTCCTGCCCCTTTGTGGAGAGACATTGAAGTGTGTTTTGTTCATTGTTTTATCCCCCAGCACCTAGAACAGTGCCTTAACATATAGTAGGTGTGCAGCATTTTGAACAAAAACCAAAAGTGAGTGATGAGTGGCATGCTGGTGGCTCACACCCATAATTCTAGCTACTCAGAAGGCTGAGATCTGGAGGATTTAGGTTCAAATCCAGCCTGGCCAGAAAAGTCCAAGAGATTCCATCTCCCAAATAACTTGCAAAAAAAGCTAGGCTGGAGGTGTAACTCAGATGGTAAAGCACCAACTGAGCAAGCTGTGAGGGCCTGAATTCAAACCCTTGTGCCACCAGAAAAAATAAAATAAAATAGTGAATGATGTATGATGCATGGAATCTTAAGCACAAACCACAGTGATGTAGGAATTTTTGGTAAAAAATCCCATTTCACAGACGAAGAGACTGAGGCTCAGAGGAGCAAAGGCTTGGGATAACATGGCAGCACTGGGATCTAAAACCCGGGTCTCACCTGCCTCCAGCCTATCCCGATTCTCCTTGGACTTGTGTGGGCGTGCGCAGTGGAGTTGTCGGAGAATTGCAGCTCTGTGTGCAGGGCTGGTCCCCCGAATGGACGTGGAGACCCAGGTTGGGGGTGGAGGGGAACCTCTGGACGCTCACCTGGCCCACAAGAGTACAATCCATCCGGCCCCTCTTCTCCGATTTGGGACCATCCTCCGATGTTCCCCCCCTCCCCACTCCCCTACATGACCACATGACCAGAGCCCTGAGGGAAAGGAGGGTGGGGGGGAGAGAATTTGAGGATGAAGGTGGAGTTGCAGGGAGGAGGGAAGAAGGACGGGGGATGGGTTAAGAAGGAGTGTGTGATGTCAAGCAAAAAAGACAACATTAGACACAGATGCTGAGATGGCGTTTATAGCGGCAAAAAAAGGTGAAGTCACCGAGGGAGAAGGGGTGCGGGGGGGGAGGGGGTGTGGTGGGGGCGGGGTCCATGAAAGCTAATACATGGTGCACTAGGTCACACAACGGACACTGGGGGTGGTGGGTGGGTGGGGTGGGCGTGGCCCAGGCATGGCGATGGCGGGGAGGAGGGGGAGAGGAGGAGAGGGCGGTGGCCCCAGCCGAGAGCTTCTGGAGGTGGCAGGGGGAGGTGGGCGGCGGCGCCGGTCTCGGAGGATGGAAGGAATCGGTTAGAGGAGGGGTGTGTGTGGGGGGGTGAATGAAGAAGGCCTTGGAGGCATGGCCGCAGTCCCAGGGGGGAGGCAGAGGCTAGCTTCGGGGGTCTCGGGAAGGACTGAGCCATCCAAAGACAGCCCTACTCCTGCTCGCCTCTCCTCTGACCGCGCTGGCCCAACACAGGGAGGGAGGACCGAGCCCGGCTGAGCCGGGAGGGCGGCCCCCGCTCCCGCGCCCCGCCGCGCCCAGCTCCCGCTCACCCCCCGCCGCCCCCCACACGCAGCCCTCCAGGGCTAATACTGATGTCTGAAATTCTCAGCGCTGGGGACAGGTAAAGGGGGACACACCTTGCGTGGGCCATGCCTCCAGTGGCCTGAGATGCCAACATAATGGGGGAGAAAAAAAAAAAAAGACTCCCCACGTCCCCTGGCTCAAACCCAGTACAAAAGTGTCTATTTACAATGAAGGCGTGGGGAGCCGAGGGGCGGGGCCGGAGCGGGGCGGGCCCTGGCGGGAGGCCACGCCCCCGCCCCGCCTTTTAAAGGGCCAAAGCCAAACAGCAAAGGTAATTTCTAGAGGATTTCTACCCCTCCCCACCCAGGGCGGGGGGCGGGTGTGTGGGTGGAGGGGTGGGGGTGAGGGGCAATGGGATGGGGGTGCGGGTGGGAGGCATGGGCGGTGGGAGGAGATGGAGGAGAGGTATGTAACTGCCTCTCGCCTCCCTCCTCCCCTCCCCCTGCCGGACACACAGTTTTCCGTGGGATGAACACAGAAAGGGTTAATCAAAGAGTTCGATGAGCGAGTCTGACGGTCGAGTGGGGCGGGCTGGAGCAATGAGGCCGCAGATTCCGGTGGCCGGTGGTGGTGATGGAGTCACTTAGAAGATGAGTGGTTTGGCAGGTTTTAGGGGAGAGAGGGGAGGGTTGGTAAAGAAGGTGAGGGGAAGGGGTGGTTAGGCAGTCTCCCCACGTGAAATCTGGGAGACAAATGTCCTGGACTGGCTGAGAAGGGGTTAAAAGAAACCAGCATCCTTGGCCACCACCAACCTGACCTTCTCTGTTTCCCTTCTTGCCACCCACAGGGCCTGAGCCCACCAGATGCAGACTCCCGCCGAGCGAGCGCGCAGACCGGGGGTCCTTAGGCCCCGTCGTACCCAACTTGGGTATGGCGATCCCGTTCTCCTCCCCCCCCTCCCCCGTCCCCATCGTAACACCCAATTCAGACCAGACCCGGAGTGTAGGACTCGCACGCGCATGCGTGCGGGGAGGTGCGGGTCTGTGCAGCACGCGCTCAGCGAAGGCCTGCTAGGCTGACGCGTGCCACGCGTGCACCGCACCGCACCGCACCGCACCGCACCGCACCGGCACCTGGAAGCGCCCCACATCGCCATCCTCATCGCCACTCTGGCTAACACTTTTGCAAACCCTCAAGTCTCTCATGACCTCCAACCCTCATTTTTGTTTTTGCTTTTTAAATACCAGTTATTCCATGCAAGGGATTCCTTCCTCATTTTCTAAAACAGTTGGCGGCGACCAACGAGAAACAAAGTTACGGTGGGATGGAGGTATTGGCCGGATATTTTTTTTAAAAAAAGGGGGGGGGATATGTTGTAGGTGTTGGTGGTCCAGAGACAACTGGTACAGTAATGTTCCAAGTATAGGATCCCAACCATCTAGAAGTCAGTCGACTCTTGGGAAACTCCAATGAGATATCCTTATTCCCACCTACATGTCCAGGGCTTTAGGCAAAAAAATCACTGCCCTCTGATACCGGCCCAACTAATTATTGCAGTGAAGCCTCCTTGCCCAGGTAGAGATGGCAGGGATAGGGCAGAAGATGGCTGGGCAGGTTGGCTCAGAGTCCCCTCAGTCGGGGGATGAAGGGAGGTGAATTTTGGCACATTGGACCCTCTTGTTCTCATAAGTGCTTTGAGCTTCTCCCACTCCACTTGGTACCACCAGGAGAAGGGTTGAGCTTTTTCTCTTCCCCTCTCCCAAATTTCTATAGGTTTGCCCAGAAAGGGGACAAATGGGGCTTTCCCCGGCTGGTGGAATTTGTGGAAGGGGGGGGGGAATCGAAAAAAAGGTAAGGGGTTATCTGTGAAAAGGAGGCTTTTTTTTCCCTTTTTTTCTTTTTCTTTTCTTATAAAGATTCTAAGAAAAACTCGGAGGGATGAGGAAGGGGGGGACCCAACTTAGCTCAGTATTCACAGACTTTCTCAGTGCACCTTAGGGGCACCCTCAAAGTGAGACAGCTCCCCTTCTTCCTCTCTATCTAAGGTCCTATCCCCCTAGATCGGCTCAGTTCCAAGGAAGTTTGGCACTTTTTTTTTTTTTAAGTAGGGAAATGTGGGAGAGAAGAGTTGGATGTTGGGAGGAAGAAGACAGACAATGACAAAGAGACAGGGCAGAGAAAGGGGGGTGACTGGGGAGGAGAAGAACAAAATAAAACAGAAAGCCACAGGGCGCCAAAGAGAAAGAGGGAAGGGACTAGAAGCTGAGGGGCAAATGAGAAGGAAGAGGGAAACAATGCAGCAAACACTTATTAAACACCTACTGGGTGTGCTGAAGGGCATAGAAGAAGCCTTTTCAGAGCCTTTGAGACCTGATTGGCTAGCAGGGGAGCGGGCAAGAAAGAGGCGATGGGTTGATTTTTTTTTTTCAATTGTCCCATCCTTGAGACACATCTGTGTCCCCTCTGGACAAACTGCAGCACAAAAGATTGAGGTCAGATTGCAGAAAGGACTTTAAAGGAATGGTAGGGATGATGGTAGAGTAGTTTCCCAGGGCAAAAATGGGGAAAGGTTTGTGGTGAGTGAGCTAGCTCACTAAGCTAGCAAACTACCTTTCAGATAGCCCTGGCTGGTGGGGTAACAGGTCCCCAAGAAATGTGAATAAGGAGGAGACTGTCACACAGACCTCCTCGGGAACACTTTCTAGGAGGCCCAGCCTCCAGAGCTGTGTCTGTGTGACAGGAATTCTGGACCCAACAGACTGGGATCCAAGGAATGGACTTAGAGAAAGCAGGATGCCAAGCTGAGGATGCAAATGATATGCAAATGAGCTCCTTAAATCCCACCTCCCAGCTCTCAGACCTTATTTCCCTTCTCCTTGGCTCCTGGGGCCTGAGGCCAGCTGGAGGGAGATAGTCCAGCAGGATTCTGTAATACCACAGGCAAGGGGAGATGCTATGAAACACTGTAAGGTGTCAGGAGAGGTGGAAAGGAGCAATAGCCCACCGAGACACCCCCACCTCCTACCCCAACAGCCCCCCCAGCTGTGTAAGATATGTACAAGGTTATATCAAGAATTATTTTGGCACTCAGATCTCCATCTAGGCTCAGTCTGGAGATTGGGGTGGGGGCAGCAGCAATAAGAGTTGGGAGATGGGGGTGATGGAAATGGGGCCTGCCCCTCACCCTACAGATAACAGGCCCGAGTGGATAATTCAGTGCAAGGTACAAGGGCTATTGCTTTCTAGGGGTTTTCACATTTTGATTTGGGGGTGGCTCTCCAGCTAGAAGTTGGGGCCTCCCAAGCTTTAGGGTTAGGCGCTTTTCTTCCCTCCTTTTTTTTTTTTAAAGAAGAGATACAGGAGGCCAGATTTTCCCCAAAGCCATGGAGAAAAGGGTCCGGAAGACCTAGAAGGGAAACAATTGGGAGAGAGGGTGGGCATGGGCGCCCTTCCCCCAGAGATGCTGATGACACAACCAGGGTACTGAGTACCCTGCTTTGAGTTGGAGAAAGGGCAGGTGGTCTCACAGGGGAAGGGGGAGATGAAGGGTGAGGAGGTGGGTCTCGGCTATCCTAGTCTACATGGACGTAGGCCCAGACATCATCTTGGTGGACCCACAGTCCTTAGTGCTGACCACAGCCTTGGTTCCCAAGGGAGCCATTTTCGAACCTATCCTCAAGGCCACCTGGCTTGTCAAGACTCCATCAGAATATTCTCGTTCCTCAAGGTGACTATGCCAAAACATTTGGAGCCATCAGATACCACCAAAGTATGCCAGCTCACTGGGCATCACCAAGCCAAGCCACTGTAATCCAGCAGACCACATTCCAGCCCCAGGGAGCCTCCCAGGGCACACTTAACTCGAGACGGGCTCACACAGGCCTAACAGAGCCACACACACCAGTCTCCTCAAAGGCAATGACACAAAGCCACACAGACACAGGCATGCACATACACAGGCGGGTGGGGTGGGAACGGAGGGCAGCCTGTAACAATGGTGTCCACCAGCTCCAGCTCCCACCCCTGCCGGCCGGAGCCAGTTCACAGACTTGGCATGTTTGCATGGAGATGACCTTGACAGTTTGGGGTTTGTTTTTTAACTTAGCATCCTTAGATAAGACCCAAATCCCACTTACTCGCTTCCTAGGAAAATTCCCAGGGCCACACCCACTCAAGAGGAGTGTGGGCCGAGAAGGGTAAGGACTGACCACTGTCCAATACCGGAAGTGCATGCTTCATTTCCCCATGACATCACAGGAAGTGACCTCAAGACTCCACAGGAAGTACATACCCCCCTGGGTTCACTTCAGTGACTTTCAAGGAAGTACTCATCGAGACCCCACCGGAAGTGCTAGTCTCTCATTTTTTTTCACAGGAAGTGGCCTCCAGGGAAGTAGCTCCTATGACATCATAAGGAGTGCCCTAAGCACCCCTCCCCCAAGAAAACTACTTGGTTCAGCGACATCACAACAGAGACCCCTCCCACACATTCTCACTACTCTAGCAAAAGCCACAGAGATGCCATAGCTCCTTGTTCTAGCCACTGTCACAGAGTCCTGCTCACAGGACTGGCCTGATCCCAGAGCTGGCCTCATTCCCAGGGGGCCTGTGTCCCTGCCCCCATTCAACAGAAGAGTGAACATTCCACCCAGACGGGGCTACTCCAGTGGAGGAGGGCAGGCGGAGGAGCTGAGGAAATCTGGGAACTCGGGGTCCCTGCTCCAAAGGCCCCCATTTCAGCTCAGACTCCTGGGCTACGTGGAGGGCTTGTCCCTTCCCAGGAATTTGGAACTGGAAGCAGAAAGGCAGGGGGGGTGGGGGGAATGTTGTGTTTCGGGGAGGCCCCTCATTCCTGGTGACCCAGAGGTTCCCTCCCTTCCTCCCAAATACAAACTAAAACTTATACAGAGAGAAGGAAAAAAAAAAGAAAAAAGAAAAATCGTTTTGGAGGTTGGGGGTGGAGGTGGAGAAGAGCAAAAGGAAGAAAAAAAAGAAGAAAAAAGAGTAAGTGGGAGGGGAGGAGAGAAAAAAAAAGAGGGAAAGAAAGAGAAAATAACGCTTTGTTTTCTATTAAAATGAGCAAAATGCCATATATACAGATATCACACAGACCTGGGCCCTGGGTAAGAGGGTAAGGCCCAGCCAAAGCACAGGGAGGGAGGGAGGGAGGGAGGAGGGGGCCAATTCAGAGCTGGGGAGGGGGCTTCTGAGCCCCTTCCCCCAACACCAACTCAAGCCTGCCTATGACTACCGGAGGGGGGAGGGGTGCAGTCAGACCTCCCCCAGCCCCCACCCCGGAGAGCAAGCAGGAGCACCCCAAGCTGAAGGAGCGGAGGAGGAACAGGAGGAGAAGGAGGAAGAGCGAGAGGAGGAGGAGGAGGAGAAGGAGGGAGGAGGTCCAGGAGGAGGAGGCGCAGGGGGGAGGATGGGGCGGAGGCGCGCGCGCCCCCTCCGCCCCAGGCCTCATCCCACTTTCTGGGGGTTGGAGGCGCGCACCCCCTGCTCGTAGGTGACCCGCTGGCTGATGAGGTATTGAGCGGCTTGTGTGGCCGCGGGGCTGCCCGTGATGGTGACCCTCCGGTTCCGCGTGCCGGGGAGGAACTCGCCCTTCTTGGAGATCTGGATGCGGGCGCCCGTCAGCTCCTGGTACTCCACCAGCGTCTTGCCCCCCTTGCCCAGGATGGCGCCCACTAGGTTCTCGGGGACGGCGATCTCCACCAGCTCCTTGGCGCTCTCGGCCGCCAGCTTCTCCGCCGTCAGGAAGCCCCCGGCGG